TGAGGTTGATATTATCTACTGGTAGGAGAGAAGTAGCTATTATCCACTGAGGGTGAGGTGGCTATTATCCACTGGTAGGTAAGGTGATTATTATACAGTGGTAGGTGAAATGGCTATTATCCAGTTGTTGGTAAGATGATTATTATACAGTGGTAGGTGAGATGGCTATTATCCAGTTGTTGGTAAGGTAATTATACAGTGGTAGGTGAGATGGCTATTATCCAGTTGTTGGTAAGGTGATTATTATACAGTGGTAGGTGAGATGGCTATTATCCAGTTGTTGGTAAGGTAATTATTATACAGCGGTAGGTGAGATGGATATTATCCAGTTGTTGGTAAGGTGATTATTATACAGTGGTAGGTGAGATGGCTATTATCCAGTTGTTGGTAAGGTGATTATTATACAGTGGTAGGTGAGATGGCTATTATCCAGTTGTTGATAAGGTGGTTATTATAGAGTGGTAGGTGAGATAGCTATTATCTAGTCGTTTGTGAGTTGGTTTATATCCATTGTATGGATGCTGCTATTGTCCAGTTGTAGGGAAGTATTATTAATGGTCAAGAAGGTGGATATTTTCACACTCTATGGGAGGTGCCTATTTTCACACTGGAGGGGAGGTGCCTACTTTCACACTAGAGGTAATGTCTAATAGTAGGTAACGTGACTAGTATCTATTGGTAGTTGATGTGGCTATTATCCGTTCCTAGTATCCAGTGGTAGGTGGCGTAGCTATTATCCACTGGTAGGTAAGGTGGTTATTATATAGTGGTAGGTGAGGTGACTTATATATAATCGTTGGTAAGGCATCTAGGGCAGCCACTGGTGGGGAGAGTGGCTATTATCCACTGATAGGAGAGAAAGCTATTATCTACTAGTAGATGAGGTGGTTATTATCCACTTGTAGGTGAGATGGCTATTATCTACTGGTAGGAGAGACGAGGTTGTTATCTTACTATTATTCATTTTTAGGTGAGGTGGATATTATCTACTGGTAGGTGAGAAATAGCTATTATCCAGTGGTAGGTGAGGTAGTTATTATTTACCAGTAGGAGAGAAGTAGCTAATATCCAGTGGCATGTGAAGTGGTTATTATTTACTGGTAGGTAAGGCAGCTTTTATACATTGAGGTGGTTATCATAGTGCTAGGTCAGATGGCTATTATCCAGTTGTTGGTAAGGTGGTTACTATATAGAGTGGTGGGTGAGATGGCTAATATCCAGTCGTTGGTGAGTTGGTTTATATCCATTGTATGGATGCTGCTATAGTCCAGTTTTAGGGAAGTATTATTAACGGTCAACAAGGTGGCTATGTTCCCACTTGAGGGGAGGTGGCTATTTTCCCACTTGATGGGAGGTGGCTATTTTCCCACTTGAGGGGAGGAGGCTATTTTCCCACTTGAGGGGAGGGGGCTATTTTCTCACTTGAGGGGAGGGGGCTATGTT